AAGTATTATTCTGAACAGACTTCAACAATGTTTTATTCAAACAATTAACCAAACGTAAAACTTTCACTGATGGATGTCCCAATCGAGAGTGCCACAAGTCACCTGAGTCTGATGCCTCCACTGCATGTGCCTTAGCTTGATCAAGACTCCGGAAAATATAAACTCCCCCTCGCCGTTCACCCACTCCAATCGGCATCCTCGTAAGTAGGTCCTGTATTACACATTATCATTAGTAAAAAATATATCACATTTTCGTTGATCAATTAATTGTGCTAACGAAATAAGATTGCATTGCAATCCAGGTACTAGCAACACATTTTCCAATTTTAATCGTGCACTTATCCACACGTCACCAACATGAGTTGCACGTGTAATTTCACCATTTGGTAACTGCACCGAAATAGGAGTCAATTTGCATGTCTGCTTCAAAACGTTAGCATCGCCGGTCATGTGGTATGAAGCGCCGGAGTCCAGGAGCCATTGACAATTAAATTGTATACCTGTCAATTTCTCCTCATCAAGTGGTGCGGTCTTACAATTCTCCAGGAGCTTTAGAAAATTATGCCACTGTTCATCCGTGAAATTTGGTTTGTGCATGGGAATATCCTTCCCTTCTCGTACCGCAACAACGTCTGCACAGGATTCTTCGACCATGTTGCTGTTAATTATCGTCTCGTGAATGGAACAACCCTGTTCGTTACTGCTCTGATACCATGTTAAACAGCAAATAGGTAAATATGAATTTCGTATTATTGAGTGTATGATCCCATACGAGACCCAGGCCTTTATACAATTGTCCTAGTGTGTGGATTACTTCCGCTACCTGCTTGTACGCTATAAACTAGGAGAAATAATATGGCTACAATTATGTACATAACAACCTAAGCAAAACATACTCCTGTGTCGTACCTATCACATGGTGTACGTACTAGGAGAAAAATGTAGCAAAAAAATAAATGTGACAATAAAATACATAGCAACAGGACCAGTTAACTTGCAAAAATCATTTGACAACCTTCCCAATTGAATGTTTTGCTTAAATTTGGTATGGATGAACTAGACTCGATGAGGACATACAAAAAACATTTGAGCAAAAAATACCACCGGGGAGGCCCCCAAATGGAGGAGGCCGGACGGGGCTCCTGTCCGGAAATTTTGGACAGGAATATTCCTGTACATATATATATACATATATATGTGTGTGTGCGCGCGCGCATGCATGCAATGGAAGTACGTACTTCATTTCCAAAGTTTTCTTCCACTTTTGTTCCTTAATTGGAATCTCTTATAGGAATATATATGGGCCAGTAAACGAATTCTTAATAAATTCGCAACATGTCCAAAAATGAAAAATAATACTCCGTAGAAAGTATGATACACTATGTCTACATCTAATATACAGGGTGTATGCTACCAAAAAAGATATAAGGAGTATATGCAATCTTAATATTTTTCTCAAAACAAACTCCATATATGTCCAACTTTGATGTACCTAAAATGGCAATTGAATTTCACATTTTTATTGGTATGATGAGTGTTGATCATTCAAATGAAGTCTTTTCTTGTAATTAAAATAAATAATGCATCTAATTACTATTTATAATAAGCATTTAATGAATAGTTGACAATAAAATGATTTTTGAAGTCACCCGGGGTGCCACTATGATTCTATACGCCCAATTCATATAATCGTGTTCACTTGGATTGAATTGTATACTCTCAACAAGATGGTTTCTTATTTAAGTATAGTTTTCCATTAACTCAACCCTTGGGATGATTATATTTTGGTTCTTAATTTGAGAGTCATGTGAAAAATGCAGCCGTGAAAAATTTGGCGAGATGCACGCCAGAGTATGGTGGGAGGAGAACAGAGCTAGGATTCATAGGCAATACTTATGAAGAAACACAAGTTGATACTTATATATACATATGTATACCGGCCATTTCTGGCATTGCCCTTTGTTTTTTTGCAACAACAATAGATCGAATCCAGATCAAGTAAGCAATTCATCTTATGCACGTGGGAATGTTGTCTTACAATGTTTTCTAAATACGTAGTATATATTTTCCATGTGACCATATAATACAATGGGTGAATTGAGAGAGCATTCATACATAGTGCTTCAAGTCTACCACTACAAGGTATATACGCGAGTTCACATATAACAAGGAAATTCCTTAATATCATCATCATCATAAGGAGAAAGTATAATTTTGGTCCCTCTTGTATTTTCAATATTGAAATATAGTATCTCTCATTTAATTTTTGCAATTGTCATTCCTTATAGGGGGAAATAATACAAATACTCCAAACTTTGAAGGGGTGTGAGATAAACACCCCAAACTTGCATATCTTCTATTATACAAAAGCAGGCGGAAAACTGTACAGTATTCCCGCCCAAAGACTGTACAGTAACGGGTCGGGTCGGACTATACATGGGTGCAGAAATGGGTCTGTAGGAAGCCCAATGCAATTCTTTAATGTTGTCTCATTATCCAATGCTTCAGTTGTGTGGTTCAAGAAAAGGGGCTGCTTTTATGAATAAAATACAAACTTATTTGTACTTTTCATCCTAGAGCCACAAAAAAAAATTGTGGGTTTTACAAACTTATGAGTTGTACTATGATAAAAAACCGGTTGCTCGGTTGATCGTTGTGGGTTTTACAGCTTCTGTGGCTAAAATTTTACAGCATTAAATACACGGCGAACAGCCAATAAAGAAATTTGTAAGGTTCAATATAAAAGACATGTAGAGGACAATTTTAATATTAAAAAAAGGACCTATGTCATTTCGAATTTATTGGTTTGTACCATGAGATTGTATCAGTTCAAAATCTCGAATTTTTGGCAGGTTGGGTCAAAATAACACTCGGGTTGCCCAAACGTTTTTCTTAACTTTAGTTGGCATTTTATTGGGCTTCCATAGTTATTGTAATGACCCAACTAAATACTTGGTAGCCCATTCTCATTATTATGGGTCCGATAAATAATTTAATTAATCACACATTAATTAAATATACCAATCTATTACACGATTTTTATTCGCTGGAAAATTCAATTACATGTCGAATTTCAAATTCAAATACATCCGGGTGCGGTGTCACAAATATAATATGTTGCCCCAATATAATTCAAGGTTCTTGCCCCAACGTGGGTTCCACAAATTTAATCTCATGTTGCTAAAATTAATCACTAATATAAATCACCAATATCTTATTCATTGTATTCTCGAAATTTTGATTTAGCGAAAAATTACATTCGGGAGATGGTGTCACTGATTTGAGGTTGATGTCTTAGAATACTTGAGATCATTACAAATCAGAAGAAACACATAGTGAAGGAAATGGACTAAGCTAGATTTAGCTTTTCTAAGTAAGGAGTAAACAAAGGAGTGTTTGTCTCAAGGCTAAAAAATTGGCTAATGTATAGGGTTGCTCTTTCGGGCAACTTAATATAATTCGACGGAGAGCTTTTCGTTTACTGTGGATCGTTGTGCTTACTGCTACACTAAAAGCAATCGCTGATAGTGTAGCACGCTCCTCCCCCTTTATAGCACATGTGAAGCACCACGCAGTTCGATTGCATCGGCAGGCTGTCAGATTGCTGGCACCGCATACCCGCGGCCCAACAATCTTCCCCCAGCACCTGACAGCCTCAACTGCGCAACATGTTGTTGCCGGGGGTCGAACCCGTGACTTTGGCTGTGATACCAATTGTGGATTGTTGTGCTTACCGCTACACTATAAGCAATCGCTGATAGTGTAGCACGCTCCTCCCCCTTTATAACACATGCGAAGCGCCACACAGTTCGATTACACTGGCAGGCTGGCAGATTACTGGCACCACATACATACCCGCGGCCCACATTTACTTTGGGGCTTTGATTGGTGGTGGATTTGCAGGGCCTTTTTAGATTTTGTTTCACTTGCTTTCTTTGTTTCACTAGCTTTGTTTCATCATTGTGTACTCTTCTTATTTACTTTTTAATAAATTTCATTTTCTTGTTTAAAAAAAAGAAAAAAAATGGACTTTGTATATAGATTGACTTTGTATTAAAGCAGTCTGTTGGTCACTGTAACAAGTTGTGTAAGATATGTGTTTAGATAGGATTTAAAACGTGTATGGTTTGTGATGGTATGGGTACTAGAAGTAATTAAGAGGACACAAGATATATCACGATTCAGAGGTGATGTAATCATCCTACATCCAGTCTCATCATCGAGCTGATTGATTTCCACTAAGTTATTATCAACCAATACACTCAGTGCCTAGTCTACTGCCAGACCATAAGGTGTTTCTTGTTTACACTTGCTGATTATGATGCGGCATGACTCTTTTTGTCTGCATGTGTCACGAGTTGTGACTTTCTTCTTTAACGTGTTATCTGAATAATTTTTCCAATATGATAGATAAGGGTGAGATCTTTAGATCTTTCTACGCCATGCAAACATGATATCAACAAATATCTTGAGAAATAATTGGAGACAAAGCTTTCCCTTGTACATGGGTCCCTTGTCTTTTCTTCTACGACGATTTCAATACTATCTACGTAATACCTTTAGTAAACTTTAGAGTATGGAAATAATTGTTAAGGTAGTTTTACAATTACCAGACTGGTGGTGGGTCCAATGGTCACATGTTGCATATTTTGACTTAGCTGAAAAAATGAAAGTTGTAGAGAAAATTGTGATAGTCAACTTTGCCCCATAAACCAAGTTCAAAAACCATTTTGTTGATGAATTATGTTTACTAGCAGGCTCAAGTTAGAGAAGCCTTTGCTTTACAACAACATGTTATTTTTACGCGAGTAAACTTTGACTGACAAAAGATTGCTTTTTTCTGTGAACCAATAGCAACCTGCTTTTTCTCTTTTGTTTGATCTTTTTCATTCTTTCGAGTACTTTACTTTTGATGACTTAATGCAGCAAATGTTACAAAATTTTACTGATAGTTTCCCAGAAAACCGTTAGTGATATTGTAGAGAGAAGGGAGAGCTACGAGTTTGAGAGAGAAAGTAATGTGCATTAATGGGATTCAAACCCTTTACAACTGTCCCCCGGGGGGTATTTATACTAGTAATTAATGAGGCGGTGCATTAAATGCATTTCATGTGCTGGCTTTTTTATGGACGAGAGCCCTGGGGTGTAGCAAAATTTGACGCCCATCATTCTTTAACTGACTTCTGGCCAGGTGTTCTCAGTTGGCCGAGGTGTAGGGGTGCACCGTACCCTTGGTCTAGCGTTCTCCATGTCCCTGTGCCTGGGACCTTGGGCCGAGTTGTCGTCACCAAGGTGGTTGTACAAACAGTGATTATATTTCTTCATCTTGGACTGGATTTGGTTAAGGGCCCTAGGTAGTGTGATGGGCTTGGATCATTCAGGTGTCCAAGAGTGTGTGGGCCGTGGGCCTGAGCCCACATACTTTATCATTTACAATCATCAAAATCTAAGGGGCGTAACATAATCTTTTTCCAAATATATGACTTTATTAATTATATTTTTGTCGATAGTCGTATTTTTGAAAAATGATTTAAATTTGGTAATATTTAGGAACTAACCCCAAAGATAGATTCTTCATAATTAGTACAACCAGAAAAGGATATTAATTACAAACTGTCCATGATAAAAGATATTAATTACAAACTGTCCATGATAAAATTACAACATATTGTGATGGTCATCATTGTCATTGACTTCCGGGATATTTTCAAACAAATCATCCATTCTCATTTCAGCTACATGTGTGGTAATCATACATATTACACATCCAGTAATAGAGTATTGGTACTATTTCATTTACATTTCTTTGACAACTACTACTTCATCTAAATAAAAATGACATCCAAATAATTTTGTCATGACCTTTTTGTGCATACTATTTATATCCTTTACTTACCACTAATGTTTGTAATGATTAATATGTCAAATTTGCACAAATTCGCCATAAAATATGATATTGATTTTTAACCTATTTTAATTATTCTACTCAATCGACCCGTGCGTTGCACAGCCGGATTCCCTTAATATGTAATTTATTTGGGAATTTTATCAACACAGGACCCGAAAGATGAAATATATCGCTATATGATCTGAATGATGAAAAACTATCAATCTAGGACCCAGATGATTGAAAACTATCAATACAGGACCTAAGTTGTCATGAATTTTATTATTTTTATTTTAAAAAATAAATATTATTTAGTTTTATTAAACTAATAAACTTTTGTGAAGAAGAATTCATCAAATATTAGCAATGGAATTAATAAAAAAATTAAATAAATCAAAACCAATGAAATGTTAGGTCCTAGATTGATAGTTTTTCACCATTCGGGGCCTATACCAATACATTTCATCTTTCAGGTCCCAAACTGATGATTCATCTATCTTTCAGGTCACAGGTTGATAAAAGTTCATGCTTAAAATGATACTACGTATATAGATAGATATTTTATCTGAATTTTTGTACTTGTATCTAAACATGATATCCGGACCCTTCAAATTCATTGAGATTGAAACAATCATATATATCAAATTATACATTATGGTATTTCAAACAATGCATGTATTATTGATTAAGTTTTCTAATAGTTGTGTTTCATATCCAGTTGAATCGTTGAACAAATTAATCATCATTTTGTTTTTGAGAACTAATGAACATGTTAAAAGTTGTAACGACTGAAATAGGAAATACCTGACTAGTATTAAAATAATTAAATCTACTAATCCTCTTATATGCTTTTATCTACTACTCTCTGGAGGAGTATATGGACTCCGACTCCCCGGTCTGCCGACTATTGGGCCTGGACAGCGGCTCACATACACCTAGCAAACGACATTTATATTATTGTACAGTTTACACATTCATTGTATGTACTAGATTAGCCTTTTGTTGAAAAATAAGAGTATTTCAAATGAATAAATATATTACTTCTTTTTATTTATTTTTTCCACAATAATTAATTAATAAATGGTTATACATCTTATACACAATATTGTTATTTTTAATTATATTTAACCTTGAGTCATGCTACTGTTATTATAAACCATACGTTGCATAACTTGCATTGTGTTATTGCTAAACTAGCTACCTATCATTGTATCAACTTGGAGTTGAGCCGTTGCTTTTAAGATTATCATTAATGAATTTAACGTTACTCTTAAATCCAAACTTTAATATGTTCTTTAATTCGTCCGTTTCTAATCTGGCCAGTCAGTCAGGAACA